ATAATAATAAATTCTAAATACTGTCACACTTTTAAATTTGTGCTAAATTGAACATGACAAACAGTAGAAAAACATATACAGAAATGAGGAAAATATCACATATTCTGCGAATAGAAATCTGCTTCACCAATTACAAAATTGCTCAACAACCTATTTAGAAGCAAATTCCATTAACTAACCTTCTGTCGTGAATATCACAATCAAGTATCCTTGATTGGCCAGCTGCTACCAGAGTTGCTACAACTGACCTCTTTTTTAATCTTTTCTGTTACACACACACTTTATTTTGTAAACATTTAATTTCTCAAGGGTCTGAGACGGGACCACCTGAAAAAAGCTGAACTCCTCTCCTGCTTCCTGGTCAGGAGTTTGACTTGCCAAAATTGGCTAAAATAATAGCAGTCTATGCCCTAATACAGCAAATGCAAGGTACGAAAACAGAGATGGGAGCCTTGAACCTCCTGAATTCTAGTAAAGGCTGAGATCCTAATGCTCAGACAATAATATTGATTCTCTAAATTGTACTTGGGAGAACAGTGAGCAGAAAATAAAATATTCAATCACATGCAGCAAAACTGGAACAGTATTCAACTTGACAACAGATCAAGACAATTAATAATCAGATTATGAGTTCCACAGAGGACTCTGAACATGATTATCAAGTTAGATTCCTGAACACAGAGATCCCTGAGAGTTTTCCAGATCTGGTACAACGAACGTCTTTCAGTAATTTGGTAAAAATTGTAATTAAGACTTTGATGAGGTACGATTTGAATAGAGAGCATTAATAGGGTAACTTGCCTAGCAGAGTAGAACAACATCCCTTCCATAAGAATATAATTGGTATAAAAGTGTGCAAGCCATCTTTTCTGCAAAATAAAGAGACCTGTAATTGTATCGAGCAGTACATTTTGAATTCCTATACTAGGGTCAGGGGGTGAACTACCCTATATTGGTTTGTTGGGGATCCAGAGCCTATTGTGACAAGAAACAGGCACATGGCAGAGTACACCCTGGACGGGACACCAGTTCATCGCAGGACAGACACAACACACTCACATCCATATCAGGGCCAATTTTTCCCAGAAGCCAATTAGCCCACCAGTATGTTTCTGGACTCTGGAAGGAAACACACACACATGGGGAAAACACACAAATTCCAAACAGACAGCACCAAAGTCCGGAACTAAACCCAAGGAACCAGCACTTTGAGGCAGCAATGCTAACTACTGCGTCACCATGCTACCCAACACCGCAGTATGCTAGTTCTTTTTTATGCACTTTGACAAAGTCCGTTACTTTTTCAAACATTTACATACATTTGCAATACCTTTACTGCCTTTGTCAAACATACAAGATGAGTACTGGTGTTTTTTTGAAATTTTTGATTACTGAACTAGCTACTTAAGAACAAGACTCTATAAACACTTAGGGTTTTAAAACAGTAACACTTTAGTAGGGTCATAGTGAATTCATGAATAAAACCCTCATAATTCATAAGACAAAACAGGAATATTAATACAATGTGAATAAACTCACAATAATAAGAGTAATAATAATAAGTGACCCTCACTAATAATTGATGGTATAGTTTTAATCTGAAGACCTGTATTTGTCAGTTATACATACAGTACTTTATTAATGGCTACTTCATTGTTGATAACTGTTATACACTTAGAAATTGTGATTTAGAGCACCCTTAAAAGTATTACCAAACAATGCCTTCCTGATGATATGTACTTTTTTACATGAGTTAGTACTTTTCTAAATACGAATAAATACCGTGTGTACCGCATTAGACATATAATTTTCTTTCCAATCTTCAACAACTTTGTTAATATGAATATAATAAAGAAAACAAATCCAATTTGGAAAACAAAACTTACATCTAGCAAACAACATGAAGAAATGAGAACTGAAATCTAAGATGTCCAGTGAAACATGATGACTTTTACTCTTAATGTTTACTTCTATTTAATTTTTTTTTGCAGTCCAAAAGGCTGAGCAACAGCACATCAGTATTCCATCGCTTTACCTTGTAATATTTTGGAACGGTACTTTGTTGATATTTTTAAATTGGCTATTTAGGTAATGCTCAGCAGAACCCATGAAAATTGTTAAATCAGATTCCAGTCCTCATAAATTATAACATGTACAGAACCTGAAGTGGGGTTAAAATGTAGAAGAAATGAGGCCAGAAATATATGTTCCTTAAAAGTAAAAAAGGGGTCAATAGTGCCTAAACTAGAGAATAAGCCCTATCTCATGTTTACAGAACGTGAAACATTAACTTGTTCAAGATTTCATTGTGTAGTTTCCTTTTCTGTGTAGTGTATTTGATATAATCTTTTAGAGGTTTCAGATTGCTGTATTTGTAAGGTAACTTGTACTACTTAAAGAAGTAGACTGTTAATAAATCTATAGTTGTGAACAGTTATAGAGGTGCTCGAGTAGAAATTATGTTACATAAGAACTGGTAGACACATAACATACTGATAAAAATACTAATGTGTACACATAAACTGTGTTACCACCTTCTAGCCTGAACTCAACATACAGTATGTCAGAAGCAAACCAAAGCTGCACCTGATTTTTGCTGCTTTAAGTAAAGCTGCTGGACTAGGGGGTACAGTAGCACTCTTCCTTTTTGTTCAAAATTTCCAAACCAGTACTCCAAAACTGGTGGACAAGGACACTGTGTGGTAGGTGGTGCTGTCCTTTACATGAGACACTGAACCAAGGTCCAGAGTACTTGCCATTTAAGATCTCATTGCGGCATTCTTAACATTCCCCTTGAATTTAATTGGCAAAGTCACTTCTCACTTCTCCACCTGACCTGCTGTGCAGTCACACATGGTGGTGCACTTCAGTGAATGAAGGGGGTCCATTCATGCACGTAAAACATTGTGTGGAAGTGTATTAGGACTCAGTGCGGTGACTGTGTCACAGAAGTGATGTCGTCCCCTTGAAAACTAGATTGTTTCGATTTCTACTCTGGGACACATCTTGGTCTCTTGGGGACGGGGATTGTCAACTGTCCAATCAAATCCAGCTTTAATATAAGATAATCCTTCCGTTTATATAGCGCTTTTCTGGGCACACCACTCAAAGCACTTTCGAGGTAATGAGCAAATACCCCCACCACCAATGTGCAGCACCCACCTGCAGCCGTTGTGCACCAGTGCCTCACCACACATCAGCTATCAGTGGGGAGGAGATCAGAGTAATGAAGCCAATTCATAGATGGGGATTATTAGGAGGCCATGACTGGTAAAGGCCAATGAGAAACTTGGCCAGAACACTACGGTAACACCCCTACTCTTTTTGAGAAACACCTTTGAATTTTTAAGGACCACAAAGAGTCAGGACCTTGGTTTTATGTCTCATTCGAAGGATGGCAGCCTTTTTCCAGTATAGGAGTAGTAGTGTTACACTATACTGGGGCATTAGGACCCACACAGAGCGCAGGGTGAGCGCCACCTACTGGCCCCACTAACACCTCTTCCAGGAGCAACCTTAGCTTTTCCAGGTCTCCATCCAGATACTGGTCAGGCCCACACCTGCTGAGCTTCAGTGGGCTGCCATTACAAGGTTGAGTTACAGGGTGATATAGCTGCTGAGCACAGCTCCATGCATTACGTATGCAAGATATTTATAATAAAATGTATTATGTCAGATCTAAAGCCATTTACATCACTGTAACTTACCATACCCTGTCAGCAATTACCCTCTTACCATGGTTCTAATGTGAAGTTCCTTAAAGAATCACAATGAGTTAGAGTCTAACCCATCAGATTGAAATTACACGACGGAGGGAGCCAATTGACTTGAACAACATGTGGGAGGAAACTGGAGTTAGCCCACACAAAGCAGTGGCGAACATGCAAACTCCACACACATGGATTTAGACTTCAACCCAAAATTTTGGAGCTGTGAAGCAACAGTACTACCCGCTGTGCAGTCCATGAAAATCCACATGTGTTACAATTGCAAAATAATTAATTCTACTAATTACTATGAAGTAAATGAGCTGCAAAAAATAGGCATGTGAGTGATACATTAAATTTTTCATCAGTAAACGTGAACAGTTAAATGATGAGAATAAAGGCTTGGGTTATACCTAGAAAGTTAATTACTAAGAAAAAGATAAAACATAAATAAAAGACTCGTATGGGCATATTTAGGATTGGAACACTGTTGGATACTGAATATACTGTATAAAATGACCTTTTTAAAGGATGTAAGACAGTTGTGATTTGGTATTACCTAAACCGTGTTTTCCTTTCATGTCTCTCTGCAATAGCCTTGTTGCATATGCGGGTCATAATTTCAAACTCCAGGTCACCTTGTTCGTGAAGTGTAAGGTTTGTGCATTGTGAAGTGAGAAGTGAGCGAGGCGAAGTGAAGAATTTGGTAAAGGATCCTAGAGTGTTGTATCTACCTTTTCCCAATCTACAGTAACATTTCAGCAACTCCAGCAGACAGATTATCTTCTCTCGTTGTGTGCCAGCTCCATAAAGAAAAATATTTTCAAGCTGAATCATTAGCTCCGGGCACAAAACAGAAACAAGCAAGACGGTGAGCAGCAAATTATTTCTATATGCAATTTTAGAGGAGGATGTTAAATAATATCAAATACATATAATCTATATAGAATCTGTGAATAAAAGCGCCAGACTTTTAAATAAAGTCCCACAAAAAGTAATATGGAACAAACACATACGAATATGTTTCAAGCAGGTTAATAGGTTTTGCATATTTACTGAAGAAAATGCATAAAAGCTTTCTTTCGCCGATATCATTAGAAATTAGAAATAATAAATCACAATTTTCTTTTCACCTTCAGTTTCATTAACTGAACGTACGCAGAGGTCAACTGCCAAATCATTTCCCGACTGGTCAACTTGGCAACACATTTTAAAGTGCAATAAAGTGCTTGACAAAAGTATTACAGAATCGACAGTCATTTGGGTTTAAGTAAAGAACATAAATCCACTTACCCAGAAATTGCCTTTAAAGTGTAATTCTTTCATTTTGCTTTAGATGTCAAAAGAAAAAGGTAACTCTTGTATCTTTTCATGTATGTGTTTCCTTTTATGTAACAGTAGCCGTTACAGTTCCCTTTTATGTAACAATGCAAAGGGAATAGGATTTTAATATCACAGCCAAGGAAATATTTCTGCTCCGTTTAAGGAGTGAGCACTTACTGTAGCAGTAGTTCCTCAAACTGTTTTCTTTTTAAACCGTATTTCCGGGTCCTAAAGTCCGTCACAGCAGTAGTTAATAATAGTGATGGCACACCGACACGCAATTTCTTAAATTAGAAACCCACATTCAAAACTCTTGCATACAGTTAGGCTTCACAGTGATTCTCGAGAACAGGTTAAAGCTATTTTTTTCTTAACCAAGTTCTAATTGATCAGATTCAGAGTTTTAAGTACATCTAAGGAATTAATTGTTAATTTTACATAAATGCTGAGCTCCTTGTAGAATTTTTATAGTGAAATTTGAATATAGTTACTTACAAAGAATATGTCCACCCTGTGAGTCAAACAAAACGCATGTTATTTACTCTTGAAGTGTTTCATATTAATAACAGTTAAAGAATGAAGTGTAATACTATTTTTGTAAAAATCTGTTCCATGCCACATCCAAACCTTTACCTCAAAATATTTTTGGTATCAAATCTGAAAATCATAATATATTTATTATTTTACAAAAACAATTTGAGAGTTTATCTGCATTCTACAAGATAATAGTTTTGATGTACTGACAGCAGATGAAGTCAAACGTGACTGGGTAACAAAAAGGTATCAAAGTACACAGTGCTGGCATGACACTGCACTTCTCTATCAAGGTATTGTTACTCCTACTTTCCCATCCCTTACATTTTCCCCATTTATATATCGTTTTTAAATTGTTTCATAATGCAAATAACTGTGCATGTGGGGATATGAAAACAAATGAGAACTTTATAAAGGCTTTTATTGGTAATGTTTTTTTTTCTAGATCACCATAATATCTTCTGTACTGAACAAATAGACTTTTACATTTAAATTCGTGACTTTCCCTTTGGGTCTCTGTTATTTTTTCTCTGTTTCCTGTTCTTCTTCATATATTGTATCAGTAGTTCACTAATGGAAAGGGAATTACATTTTAATATTACATGGAATATAATATTCCAAGAGAGCTGCTGCAAGGGTGAAGATGGAGAGATGAGAGGAGTGTGAGAGAAACACCCAAAGGAATGTCCAGAAGATGAGACAGTGTATATATAGAAGAGAAGAATTAATCAAGATAAGGATCTTCTGTTATACACTCCATGTAGTTTTTTTCCAGAGAAACATAACCCTTAGTGCAATCCTTAATAGTCATGTGTGTCACGGGAGTCGGTCCCGTGTAGTGTGTATTTAGGACCCTATGCAGATGGTATAATATGGAAGTGGCTGGAGCAGGGCTACAGGGAAAACACGGTGAGGAGTAGAAGGGATGGCGAACAGGGGGCGGTGCTGACAGTGATCAGGTGCAATGGGGGAGAGCAGGCAAACAAGTCCAAAAACAATCCAATGTAGGAAATCCGGGAGCAGTCCAAAATCCCAAACCAGGTGATCCATCCAAGACGAGACGAGAGTAAAAACAAGAACAGGATCTGGGACTATGAAGTAAAAAACGGAATGATGAGGCCAGGCGCTCCGAGCCCCGGATTCAGCTAAGTCAGGATTCCAACCAGTGTCACGGATGTTGGAAGGGACGAACCATGGAATGGCAGGAGAACGGAAAAAGACCCTATGAAAGGTGGCGGAACGGGGAGTTAGCCCGGGTTCAGCAGTGCAAAGAGTTCTGGAGTGCCGTATAGAAACCTATGCCCTCAGGCCACAGACAGAGCGGCGACCTGGTGCTAGGTGGGTCTCAGGACATCTGAACGTCAATGCTGAACGAAACAGAATAAGTGACCCGGAAATATATAACCCCAGAGAGAGAGACACCGGAAAGAGAGGAAACCACAGGAAACTAGGGACAGGACAGAGAAGGAGCCTACAGTACATATAATATTCTGCATTTTTCTACATTAATGTTAATTTGAACGTTTTTTTTCTCTGTGCAACAGCATGGAGAAAATAATGGTAACTTAGAATCGGTGAATGCAAAACAATAGTATACTTTGCACATTTCGCGTGGTAATTACAATCAGGTGATTGAATAATTGGGTAATAAGTAAATAAGTAAAGGCCTGAGTCTGGATAACTTTGTCTTATACAGTATAATGGCTAGAAACTTTGGGAGTTTGATCTGCCCTTAACAAGTTAGTGGAACAACCTCAAATTTCAGTGGACTTAAAAAAACAGAGTAGTTGATGCTGATCAGTCTGGGCAGAGTTATAAAGCAATTTCTATACATTTGGAGCTCTATCCATCAGCTGTCAGACAGATGTCAACAAATGGTGTCGCTACCCAATACCAGTCATCCTGCCAAGATCTTCCCAAGAGCAAGCAGCTAAATCATTTAAGAATCCTAGTGTCACATCTAGGGATCTGCAGGCCTCTCTGTAGCCAGTGTCAGTGTGGCCAAAAAGCTTCCTTCCAACAAAAGAAATTCATTCTGACCATCTAAGCATCGTGTTGGAAAATTCATAGCTTGGGGCTGATTTGTTGCCTCCGGATTCAGACAGCTTGCAATCATCGATGGAACCACGATATCTATATTTATGTTTAGTAAATTAAAGAGCAGAATAACAGGTCATTCATTCGTCAACTGAAGCAGAGCCGAAATAAGGTCATGCAGCAAGAAAATGACCCTAAACAAACGAGCAATAGCAAAAGAAGAAAGTTTGCATTTTGGATGGGGCATGTCAAAGTATGGATCTAAAACCACAATGAAATGTTAGGGTAGAGTCGGAAGCAAACTCTTCATGCAAAGAAACCATCAAATTTCACTGACCTGAAGCATGTAAGGACAAATGGGCCAACATTCCTGAAAACTGATGCAAGAGACTGATAAAAAGTTGCAGGAAATGTCTAATGTTGCTCAAGGAGGTGCCACCAGTTACTGTGATAACTTACTTATTCACATTAGGATATTTTCTATAAAATAATTTTGTTAATTAAATAATCCACACATTTCTTATGTCTTTGCATTATACATTGATTTCAGGTTATCCATCCATACAGTTTCTAGCTACTTTATCCAATTCAGGGTTGCAGGGCAACCAGAGCCTATCCTGGTAATCAGTGGGTATAAAGCAAGATAAACCCTGAATGGAATACAATTTAATCGTACGGAACACACAGATATAAACATACACACAACAGGGCCAATATTCCTAGAAGCCAGTTAACCCACCAGTATGTTTTGGACTCTGAGAGGAAACCAGAGCACCCAGAAAAACCCCACATGAACATGGAGAGAACTCTCAAATTCCACACAGGTAGCACCCCAGGTCTGGAACTGAACCAAAGGCCCTACCACTGTGAGACAGTAATGCTAACCACTGCACCACCACACCACGTAATTATGTTAAGTCTAAGAGACTATGAGCCAGACTAGAGGGCTCACAAACCTTTTTCTCCATGGAATTGTAGTATTTCATAGGCTTTTATTGTAACCACTGCTAACATTGCTTGTTAAAAAAATTCCGTAATGCAGTTAAACAAGATATACTCTTTCTAAATCCATGCTATCTGTGAAAATATGATTAAAATGGATATAACACTGTTTTTTTCTAATTAGTATGACCCCAGTCCAGAGTACCTGCTTGTAGATTCTTGTTAAAGTATTGTATAACATCCTTCATTTCTTTAAATACTATAGCAGAAAAAGCTAAAGTACTGTCGGCGCATAGCTGTATCTATACTGATAGAAAAAAGAAATGCAACATCTCCTACTCCACACCTATCCCATCTATGTGGAACAGGCTGAAGAGTGACTCATCCATGAAGAGGATCTGTTGCCACTGCTGATGAGTCCATCGCAGCCTCTGTCTGGCCCAAGCCAGGTGGCTGTCATCTAGGAGATATGAGCAGAGGGGCTCTAACAGGTCGCCTTCCTCTAAGGCCAGCAGCATGGAGCCTCACTGTCCTGTCACTGACGCAAGCAATGTGTCTGCTGGCAGTTTCAGCAGCAGTGTGGGTGGCAGATCTGAAACGATCTCTCAGATGGACCAGTCTGATGTCTCTCTCCTGCTCTGGTGTGGTCACTCGAGGGCGACCGGATCTTGGATGGTCATCTATCCTGCCCGTCTGCTGAAACCTTCTATTCAGCCGGGACACAGTGGAGCAGCTTACTCCATAGTGTCTGGCAACACTGGCACATGACATGCCTGCTTGCAGCATGCCAATGGCCCTCTCCCTTGCTTCTGGTGACATTCAAGGCATTATGGAATGCACAAAAAACTACTGTGTGTCCTTTTTTCTTGCAGTGACCTAAGTTTTCAATTAAGGCCTTTTTTAAAGGTGACCTCATTGGGTAAAATTACACCTAACGAGCTTTCATGTGATGGGCAAGTTGCAATGCCTCACTGTACAAGCTGTATTGCTGGTCAGAGGGCTTAAAACAAATTGATGACTTTTTTATGAAGGTACATAAGCTATAACTATAGTATTCTCATTCCAGAAAATGTTGTGTTTATTTTTATATTCTTTTAAATTTTTAGGACAGATTTAAGATGAGAATAAATTATTAGCATTAATGTTGGGAAAACCATTTTGCCCTAATTCCTAAGAATAAGTGATACAGTACATGCAGAAAATCTAACAAAGATGACCAATTCAAAATATTCACTCAAGAATACTAATAAGACGTGATGAGAAATCTGCATGTCATGAGGAACTTGAGTAACACCAGTTTTATCATGGACGGTTACTGGTGTAAAGCACATATTAGTTTTACAGTAAATTACCAAGTGTATTGAGCGATGCCTAATGTGATAGATTATGCAGGAGAGGGTGTGTATTCAAAAGAACTGAAAAGCAATGACCAACCTATTTGAGTCCAGGGTGTAATAGGATAGAATAGATATACCTGAACCACAGGACAGCAGGCCTTCCCATGAGTGAAAATGAGAACTGTTCTGTGTCAAAATCTCTGTTGCAATGTTTACAGGAAGTTTACAGGAGAACAACTTTAGTGTTCTCAGGTTAGGAATTGATTAGTTTCTTTTTAAGGTTGTATTATTGAAATAAGGTCCGTTTGTTGAAATTATTTTCATTTGATGACTACTGTCAATGGATATGCTATATTAAAAGGGGAAAATGGTCGTTTATTCTACCATTTATTTAGGAAAGATGTATGATTTTGGAGTGTTTTTTCAGATTATAAAGAAAAAATCTATGGAGACATGCTGATATCTTACTAAATAAAATGATTATTTGATACCAATAAATTAAGAAACACCTACTGAATTATATGCTTTAATTTATTATGCTAAGATAGTTCCCAGCAATGTGGGAAGTTGTTTAACCTTTAACTAAATAACTTTTAGCATATTTAGACATACACAATGTATCTGTATATACTTACCTATTGCATGTACATATACACTCTCACATTGTATGCTGTATGTATTCTGTAAATATTGTATCTGTAAATTCTATAAATATCTGTAAACACTATACACACATAAAGCAACTGTAAACAGACCTAACAAAGCTGAGAAATAAAATAACTGCCGACTTCCTTACAGACAGCTTTACAGAAAGATCATAGTCAGGAAACAGAAAATTAAAGGAAGTTCAGTCATTTTGATACACTTATCCAGACCAATTAATGGAATGTTTTATTTGTATGTTCTTCATGAAGGAATAAGTCTCCGCTGAACCCTGTTTCCATCCAGGGTGAGGACATAGAGGGCGTACATTCCTACAAGTACTTAGGGGTACACCTGGATGATAAGATGGAGTGGTCTGGTAACACTGACGCCCTGTACAAGAAAGGTCAGAATCGACTATTTTTTAGGAGGCTCAGGTCCTTTGGTGTGTGTGGAACACTGCTACACATTTTTTATGAATCAGTGGTGGCAGCGGCCATCTTCTACGCTGTTGTGTGCTGGGGCAGCAGCATCATGACAAAATATGCAAATAGGCTCAATAAACTCATCAAGAAGGCTGGCTTTGTGTTGGGGATGAGCCTTGACCCCATGGAGGTGGTGGCTGAGAGGAGAATGCTGACCAAGCTCACAGCCATCATGAACAACACCTCTCATCCACTTCATGGGACTGTTACTGGGCAGCGGAGCTCTTTTAGCAACAGACTGCTCCAGCTACGTTGTTCAAGGGAATGTTTCCGCAGGTCTTTCCTCCTGGCGCCTGTCAGGGTGTATAATGCTGCCCTGGGCTAGGACTGTTAGCCCTTCATTTGCTCCTCTATGGACAGCATGTTTGCTCCATTGTACTTTTTGGACAATCAGTCTGTATAAACCTCTGTCTTTTGTTTTATAACTATTCTGATGTCTGTTTTTGCTTGTCTTGGGCTGGACTGCTGTAACACATCAATTTCCCTACGGGATTAATAAAGTATTATCTTTCTCTATCTATCTATATTTAGGTTACCCATTGAAAATGATCAAAATTTTCATCTTGTTCTTATAGAGATAAATGCAGTATATTCATTCCTTGATTTTAGGAAATTACAAAATGTAAAATAACTAATTTTAAAGATGTTTTTATGTATGTGTATGCACCTTCAGCTGTAATGCCATGTGTGAAGAAATATACAGTAATTGTAGTTTAGTAAATAGCCCCCTCTACTGGAACATTATTGAATACACCATCAAGACAGTTACAAATTCCCATTTTAAAATTATTAAAAAGAGGCATCTTTTCTAAGCTAATTTTACATCTTTATTAGGCATGCTATATTATACTGTATATGATGTATAATATTTATAACATATATACTGTATATAATATGCAATAATTTTTAACTCAATGTGGGGGGCACGTATTTAGTTCTGCTGAATTGATTCCAGCTCAGCTCCTGGCTTTGGCTCTAGATTGAAATGCCTTCAGTTTGGAGTTTGCATGTTCCTACATGCTTGTTTGTATGCCTTTTAGCCAGGAGCTCCAGCTTCCTCCCACATTCCAAAGATATGCTAGGTAGGCTTCTCTAACTGTATGTTTGTGTGCATGCCCTGCAGTGGGACTGGTCCCTTGCTGCTGTGAATTACCAGGAGTAAGTGACTGACAGTATATGGTAATACAGCCCCCTGAAAAGAGGTCTAATCCCTTGCTGGGTTGAATAGGTGCTCTACATCTGTGGTTCAATAATCCATCCTAACCATTCTTGGAAAAGAAGGATGCTCACCTCATGACGTGAGGGGGGTCCAAAGGCTATCCACACACTCGGGCAGAATGTGTATTAGAAGCTAAAAAAAACAGCAGTTTATAATACAAGTTTCTATTTAAAAAGGTCTAACATTAAAGATAATGCTACACTATGTGTTAATACTTCTGAAGGCAATGTTTTGTTAAAATAGTGCTTTTAGTCCAATTATAATGCTTGAGTTTTGCAGAAATACAGCTGGTCTTTTTTCTATTTTTGCATGGCAGAATAAATGAATATTGATTTTTGACTATCGGGTGGCAACATTATTTTTAGATTCACTTAACATCCGTATAAAATGTTTTTAGCTAGCTATCTGAAAGGAAGAGGGCTGTGGTGTGTACTTAAAACAAATTGTATGTTTTCCCTCATTGCTACCCAGCAGCATGACCTTACTTACATATTACTGATGCTAAGCCAGAGCACTGCCAGTGCTTGAAAGTATTCATTCGAAGTAGCTGTCAATTTGAGCTTAGCAGGAAGTTTACCCTACTACAATTACCTCATGCTAAACTCCCTGCTGTGTTTAACAGAAATGAAATGTTTCAGGTCTAGATCAGCCAAGGGAGTCTCATTGGAACAGTGCGGAAATGGAGTCATAGCAGGTAGTCTGTTGGTCAGTATTTTTTTTAATACACCACGAGCTGAAGAAATAGTCTCACTAAAGGATACCTCTGTCCACAGGTTGCAACTTCCACATTAACCACAATGAGAAGGTTGTGAGATGCACAAGCCTTTACAAATAAGAGTACTTTCAAGCTTGCAGCAAATACATTGAGGTCTTTGGTTTTCAACTATATGATTTTGGTTTCAAGACTGTGTAAGCGATTATCTCTGCCCTACTGTGGATCACACCACAACTACATGAACAATTAAACAAATTTCAGTCTCGGAGCTGTATTTCATTACCTGAAATTTTTTTCACTTGCTGCACATTAAGGGTTAGGTCTGTGTAAACCAGGAGAGGAATAAAATCTGCCTACTTGGCAAAATGTTATATCAGGTAAATCTATATTACAGAATCTTTTCCCATGAACTCAGAACTTTAAGTCAAATGAACACCAGTTGACAACCGGTTGCTTGGAATGTTGAACTGGCTCTACAAACTCAAGATAGTCGGAAGTACTAACGGATGTGTATCTCCTTCGTGTGATACATATTCAAGTACCACATCAAGACACCAATCCATCTTTATTACTTCAGCTAAAATAACATTTTTATACCTCATTCCAGACTGAACCAACAATTGAATTGTTGTAGAAGTGTTTGAACTGACTGCTCCTGCCAAAGACTCTATATTCCCTAGGTAGGGACTCACATCTACCCGTAGTCACTAATCATGCTACAAAACAAAAAATAAATAAAATAAATTGTCTGGGAGTCATACATCTCATGAGAGGTTTTAATATTTTCCCCCCAAAGCTCCAATGAGAGCATGACCATAATCTTCCAACAGGTTATCAGCAACACATCCAAAATGACATTACAGTACAGTTGCCATTTCTAAATATAACAATAGTGCTAATGACTGGCCAAGTTCCATTACACAACTGCACGATAGTGACCAACTCACTGAAAATTGTTGGGGCCTTGTGAGCTTGTAGCGTTACAAGAATGACATCACTTGTCTAGTTGACTCCCAACATAAAGGGTGAGACATGCATGCTCTTGACAAAAGCATGTAGTGATCACCTCTTCACCCCATTTGCCAAGATGAATGGTAATCTGAGGCAGTTATCTTCAAAGTGGGAGGGTTTGAACAAAAATAATCATCAGGTCTCAGAATCTATACATTACCAAACTAAATAAGCAGGCAAGTGTATTGCATACATACAAGCATATATGCATGTTTAAATTAACATTTTTGCACATGAGAAATTTAAAATGTCCTAGCGATATCAAACCCTCACAAATGGTTATGCAATTTATATCTCAACTCACTACTGCAATTTACTGACTAGCTAGTCAGTAATCACTGAAGAAAAGTTTGAGAACAAAGAACAATTCAATTCAATTAAAATATTTTTCAGAATTCATTCAGATGAGGCCTTTTTTAAAGAAAACCCTTCAACATATTTCAGATTAGGGGAAAAAAAAGGTATAAAGATGAATAAATTCAAGGTTTTGTACAACACTACTACTGGAAATCCAAACCTGTAAAACACCTTAATTTTTACTTAGTTTACCAATTTTTGTGTGCTGTTACAAGCACCTAATCTTCATTAATGCCATCTACAAGTCTCTTTCTTGCTCTCAAAGTTCTGTCATGTTTATTCTGTTTTGTGCACACTACATTCAATACATTGTGTTCCAATAAAACAAAGATCATCATCCTGGGGTTGGAACACTTTATTCTCCGAGAGAAATAATCTGTACATTGATGAAGTGCTTTCTTAATTGTTAAAGTTCATATAAAGTTAAACTGGAGCACAATGCAAACATTGACAAAACAGCCGACCAGTAAGTAGAACAGGATTTATGCATCAAAGGTGGACAGGAAATTCAGGACAATCTCCTTCAATTTTGCATCTGCCTGTTCTGAGATTTTGCCGTCCGCCCTGACAGGAGAGAGAAAAAATATTTTAGTATTGAATAATAAAATGCCTCACCTCTTTAATATTACATTGTTACAAAAGCCCAAACTTTATGTATACACTTCAGCTATGCAGCTGTACCACACCTGGTTTTAGACAAATAAGCAAGAGCTAGAAAAGTATTTGATTTGAAAGCCAAGCAACCCAACATGGCGATTTCCACCCAGATTTCAGACATTACAATGCCAACTACCTATTTTACAAAGCATAACACCTGAGGGAAAAGTAGTGAAACAAGGTCAAGCAATGGAATTCCATCTTAAAAGCTCTCATCCACAGTGTTATTTCAGACATAACTAAATGAAGTTTAGTTCTTTGCCCACCCAGGCCCCATACCTGATTGTGGCCAACAGATCCTGATGCTGGCTGAGGATATGTTGCAGGAAAACCTTCTCAAACTTGGTGATCTTGCTGGGCTCCAGTTTGTCCAGGTGGCCCCTGACACCAGCATAGATAACAGCTACTTGCTCCTCAATGGCCATGGGACCTGAAGTGGGGAAAAAAAATGCATACATTTCTTAAGATGTTCACATAGAAAAATTCCACGTGGCAAATGTTACAAAGGACAAGACTGAGGACTTTATTCCTTCACTGCACTAAGCACTTTAAGAATTTCAGAAAGGCTGATACTTACAGTACTGCCCCTGCTTCAGCAGCTCGGTCAGACGGACACCTCGGTTCAGCAGCTGCTGGGTAGCAGCATCCAAATCTGAACCAAACTGGGCAAAGGCAGCCACTTCACGGTACTGAGCCAGTTCCAGCTTCATGGTTCCTGCCACCTGGTGACAGAATTGCAGACATCAAGACCTCATCTGAATCACTTCGCAGAATATCCCATTTTTTCAGGGCCAAGACCAACCTGCTTCATGGCTCTAGTCTGGGCAGCAGATCCTACACGGGACACAGACAGACCGACATTGATGGCAGGGCGGATACCTTTGTAGAACAGCTCTGTTTCCAGGAAGATCTGAAAGGACAAGTTTAAAAGTCACTGTCCCCAAGATTGCAACCAGTTACTCTTAAAGCATTTACTTATGGAAGTCTTAAGAAATGTAGATTCTATTTCAGGATCGAGTAGTAGTGGAAATTCAGGTTTCTTAACCACTTAATTGTAATGTTAGTTACAACTTAATATTTGGAAACTTTACACTACTTACAACAGTAAAGTTTTAATATGCAACTTGTTTCTTCTTAATAAAGGAACTTCCAGAACACTTGGATAGCCTTTTGGAATTTAATTCCAATTGTATCTCCCACACCCCAACACGAATTCTCAAAATATAACCTTAGGAAACCAAACAGAAAAAAGGAATGGTGGGAATGGTTTCAATTATTTTTTTCCCAGCTTTTAAGCTGGAATTAGAATGCGCTCATGATGCACAAATGAGCATTGGTCGCATACTGACCTGGCCATCAGTGATGGAAATGACATTGGTCGGAATGTAGGCAGACACATCACCAGCCTGAGTCTCGATGACAGGCAGGGCAGTGAGGGAGCCACCACCAAAGTTGTCATTCATCTTAGCTGCTCTCTCCAGCAGACGGGAGTGCAGGTAGAACACATCACCGGGGTATGCCTCGCGACCAGGGGGACGACGCAACAGCAGAGACATCTGGCGGTAGGCTACAGCCTGCGAGGAAACAAGCCAGCATTTGAACGTGCAATTTAAACTTTCCTCCTTTCTTCAAAGATATTGGATCAAGAAAAGTCTTAACTATGGTTACAATGGCTCAGACCTTGAAAGCACGTTGATCCATACTCAAATCCATGTGTATTGTTCATTAAATTCAGAGCCCACAGGTACTACTGCTTACTTCATTAAAAATGGTTTTGAGGTATACTTTTGTTTTTGCACAGGACATTTAATATACTATAAGAGAGGAGATCCATACACATAGATCCTTTGCTTACTAACCTGCTTGGACAAGTCATCATAGATGATGAGAGCGTGTTTGCCGTTGTCTCTGAAGTACTCTCCCATGGAGCAGCCAGAGTAAGGAGCCAGGTACTGCAAGGGAGCCGCATCGGAGGCAGTGGCAGATACCACAATGGTGTACTTCATGGCATCTACAAGAGCACAGCTTCAGCTTAAAGCTCATCTCAGAAAAGGTCTCGTCAAACATTCAAATCCTCCCACATCAGAAATAACTCACCAGCATCGGTGAGCCTCTTGACAAGCTGAGCAACAGTGGATCTCTTCTGCCCAATGGCGACATAGATGCAGTACAGCTTCTTTTTCTCATCTGTCCCATCATTGAACCTCTTCTGGTTAATTATGGTGTCAATGGCAATGGCGGTTTTCCTATGTATGAAATTGCAAACTTCATCAATCTTTAAGCAACAAAAGCACTGAAAATAAGTCAGAAATTAAATATAAACTGAAAGAACACCAAGTAGAAACCTTGGTTTCGTGTTCCTAAACCCATAAGTGTGTTACCATTATGGTCCAACGGTACTGGTGCAAGGTGGCTTCCCCCGTATGTAACTGAATGCTATATCTTTAGTATTAGATAACCAAAGGTAAAGGTGTTTTAAACCTTACCCTGTCTGTCGGTCTCCAATGATCAATTCTCGCTGTCCACGTCCAATAGGCACCAGGCTGTCGACAGCCTTGATTCCCGTCTGCATGGGCTCCCGCACAGAGATCCTGGGAATGATACCAGGAGCCTTCAACCCCACTCTCCTGCGAATCTTTGCACCCAGAGGTCCCTGGAGAAGAACACGCAAGAATAACTATAACATGCATCTTTAAAGGATCATTTATATACCTAAAACATTTCTCCAGACATGAAATAAGTCTATGAAGAACCACAAAAGATGGAGATTTAAACTTTAATGAATATTCCTAATGGATTTTAATCTAAAGTATTTACTAGTTATACACAAAACTTTCAAAAGCATGCTTCAGAAAAAAATGGTCTTAGACATAGTGACGATCAACCTGATGTATGGTATCCACTAAATGAGCTAACCAGTAAAAACGGTGAAGGTCATTACCATTCCAGCTTGTACATCTACTTAGAACAGTAAGGTTTTAATATGCAACTCTACACATTGAAGCCAAACATGTACCTTTCCATCAATGGCATTTCCCAAAGCATCAACAACGCGGCCAAGCAGCTCCTCCCCCACGGGCACATCAACAATAGCTCCAGTTCTCTTCACGATGTCACCCTCTTTGATGAGCTTGTCATTACCAAACACTACAACACCAACGTTGTCAGGCTCCAAGTTCAGAGACATACCCTTTAAGCAGGAAAACAAACTTTCAGACAAAAAAGATACAGAGGCAAGACATCCATTTAAATAGACTATTGCCCCACCACTAAATGCGAGAGATTTTGCAGTGAATGTCTTCACTTAGAAAACAGGCTTCTCTAAAGTATTAAAACGATATTTCCTCTACAGGAAAAAAAAGTTGAACTTCAGAGGGTTTGCTGAAAATCTCACACTGATTTTCCAGTCATTACCTTCAGTCCAGAGGAGAATTCCACCATCTCTTCAGCCTGCACATTCCTGAGCCCATACACTCTGGCAATACCATCTCCAATGGACAGCACACGGCCAGTCTCCTGCAGGTCAGCAGTTGTGTCCGCACCCAGGATTTTCTCCTCCAGGATAGAGGATACCTCCGCGGTGCCTAAGGCAATACAAACACGTTTTGTTCTGTCGTGCAGTAACAAGAACAGTGAAGGCTTTGCTCAAACCTAAACTCAAAAACTATCACTGCACAGAACACAGATCTTCACAAGGTGCCTGTGCCCAAGTAGTACAAATCATACTATTCTACAAATCTGACGACAATCCAGATATTCAAAACAGAAGGTGCATTATCCATCTTTCCTTTAATGCTAATGTTTATGTTTATCGGGCAAAAAATGCATTTAAGAGACCAGGGGGGTTGTAGGAGTGTGGAAGCCATTGCCATAGTTTGACTTGGGTTTTCCTAAGAAACAAGTAGATGAGATTCAATCCCCAGATCAATTAACTACTAAAAAAAACAAGTGAGCTAAACTGACCAAATGCCCTCCGCTTGTTTGCAACCATTATTTGTAAGACACAGTAACTTCCATTCATCACAAAAACCAAAATAAATTATTTAAAGCCATACAAAACAGCCAAGAGACAGCTATAGTGTACTGTGCAAGATCATTCTTCATCAACACAGCAGTACGGACCTGTCTTCTGTAGCCATGGGGTAGTGGTGTGTAGATTCTTGACACCTACACAAGCAGCAGCTACAGTATTTTTGGAAACCTGAAAAGATAAACAGTTAAACATCAAATTATGTTAGGCTACCTGACGAATGAGAAGAGTTAAATTCATATACCCCGGTAATGCACTATCCAATCCGTAAGCTTAGTCAACGCAGAGGCAAGCGCTAAATCAAAATCTACACCCAACATGTTTAGCTAATTGCAAGTACGGAAGTAGTTCAAATTCCAAGACGAACTTCGGACAATACTATCTGATGAAGCTTTTACAATTGCCTGAAAATAAAACACTGCACATGCTTTCGCTCATTCAAAAACCATACGAAAAGAAAAAAAAGACGGGCCCACAACGCCAATGTTTACGTTTCTGTATAAAGTCTTCATCCAAAGAATGTCAATAATCGTTATCAAATGTATTTACAATCTATTAGTTTCCTAAATTTAAACGAAAATGATTTAATAATATCAGATCGTTAGTCCAATGAAGACTGACTATTCGCAATCTGCACTTTTGTTACTTAACTAAGCTACATTTTCCCTAAAATAAACAGCTGTAATTGCGCTTGGACAAATTGTTAATATTTGCACAAGACGTCAAGCCATTAAATGCAGCATCAAGGGCGCATTTTCTGCAAAACGGTGTTCTAAAAGCTGCAGACACCGTGAGGCCCTGACCTTCATAGTTATGACATTCAATGAGACAAGTGAAAATTCAGCTTTTCTGATGGGTTAACAAATGTGAAATCAAATAACGTAAGCGATCAGAAATTAAATGGGGAGGCAGGAATGAACGCAATAACCAAAACGCCTAAAACAAGCAACATGTAGAGGTTTCAAAGTCATGCACTACTCCGTTGGCTACTTCAGGCCCCAAGTACAACATGGCGGCCTTCATAGCTTTACATGTCCTCTCCATTCACTGACATTCAGGATATAGAAGATTACGCATAACCTTAGGAAGATAAACGGATCAGAAACGGGGAAAAACAGAAACTATATTGCTTACAAATCCGGCCCGCCTTGGAAGAGACCGGGCGAGAGCGGCTGCAACACGGACTGACAGCATCTTGCACTACGTTGTCTGGTTTAACCTCCTCCACCGGCCGGCTGTAGCTCGCAGTGCGGAGTGAAGAAGATGGAGGTGTAGCGCCGGGGCTGTATAGGATAGTTACCTATGACCCGGAAGTACTTCTCTGCATGCCCAATTTTATGTATTTTTTCACAAATGGGACAAATCTTTAAAATTCCCGTACGTACTTCATCCAATAATCTAATCATTTCTAGATTATTCTCATATATTATTATTTTTAAATAAGTGATTGACTCCTTTGTCTTCGGGTGTGTCCGTTAGGACACGAAGTCCTGCTTCAGTCACCTTGTGTTTAGGTCGCGAGGGCGGGGAGATGTAGAGATGTTGACAGCTCAGAAGTGGAACCACGTTCGAAATACTTTATCACTTTTAAAGTGCATATTTACTTTATGGTAAATTAAACGATTTCTCAAAAAACAAGGTTCATACGACGTCTGAAGATGTGGAAAATTAGCCTAATATTTGATTAATATAAAATTAATATGTGACTTAATATAAGTAATGTAATATATTATTGCAGTGATCGAGCTGCTATAGATATTTTAATTTATTTTATGGTGGAACAGTACATATTAGCAGGAAAATAACGTACATTTAAATTGCAGTTGTCACACCCAGATTCGAGTTTTTGTGGATACAGTTGCATTTCAATAATTTGGGTTGTATCACATTTCCGAAGTGAGAACGTACACAAAACATGTAATACGTTTATAAGCACTGAAATTAATTTTACGGAGCGCATAAAGCAAGGAAGACTAGCATAACGTTGCTGCCCGATTAACATAAAGTAACCACTTCTTCCAAAATCATTAAGTCAATAAAGCGAATAAAATAAGATATGGATTAAAAGGCATAGATATGTGTTGCGGTGGTGACGGGGTCCACACCCGAATGCAAGTGTAATCAAGTAATACACTTAAAAACAAGAGCAAATGGTTATGCATAGTTTCGCTTAGCGTGTACAATAATACACTTAATATGCACAGTATAAAAATAATTAACAATAACCACTCGGATTACGAGTGAGGACGTTACAGAACATTTATGCTGGTCAAACAATTACTTCCAGACACTAGTGCCAGTCTCATGGGTAGCTATGTGCATATTACAGCTTTGCAAGCTTGCTTGTATCTTGATAGCTCTATGCATCTTCAGAAAAACACTACTCTATAGTTACAGCTTGACTACATCTGTGCAACGACAAAGGAGATCTTTCATGACAGCAATATTAGATTTGCAATGGTAAATACAATAGGCCACTTCTGATTTGGCAATGCTGTGTAAAGCACTGTATATTAACTCAGATTTAAAAAAAGTGATGCTTTTAAAACAGCAATATCACATTTTTAGATGCCGTCTTCAACACTCCTCTTAAATAACGATAAAAAAATGATGTTTTAAACAGTCACAATACAGTGAGATTAATAAAGAAACCAGTGATGTTTCTAATTGATATCTACGAAACTGTTCCATCTCTTGTCCTGCTGGCGGTGCCAGCTCGCTCGCTGCAGCTCCAACAAACTTGAATGCAGCAGAAGTAGAGGACGTTGCTGATTGGGTTGAGATTTCCGAAACACCAATCATTTACATGGGTCTCACATCCGCACAGAAAAGAAACTTCAAGGCGGGAGACCAGGAAATAACAAACTGTCGGTCGTGTTGCATTATTGGAGGTGTTAGCTATAGTGTGTGGGTAGATTTTATAAATTTGTTTTTAGGTTTTACCGAATGTTAATATGTGCGAAAAGACGACCAAGGTATGCAAACCGTCTAATACGGTGCATGATTAGTATAAATGTATATGTAATGTTGATTCCTTTGCTAAAAAAAAAATCTCTTGATTTCGGTGTAGGAGACGTTCATTTATCTTTAATTGGCAATTTAGCTGACATTTTTTTCCCCACTTTCGTTGCAGTTAACATTAATGTAGCAGTCTTTGCTTACGTTTAAAAAAGAAAGCAACGCTACTGTACCAGTTATAAGGGTGTGAAATAAGCAAATAGCTGAATCTGGGAATTTCTGTAGTGCACTTTAAACATCCGAGTTACCCGCTTTTAAATGCAGTTATTTATAAATAAGGTTACATATGGAGTTGTGAATAAAAGAAATAGTTTACATTTGTTATTTGTTTCAATAACTCCAATCACTTAATGTATCGTTAGCAAACAGAAGTTGTTTCCTACTAGGAATTCTAGGAATGATTTGTGTTCTTTCAACCTAGCATTCAAGTTAGCATATACTCTGGTAAAAAAACGTACTTTCTACACCTTCATCTTAAAATGTCCTCGTTTAAATGTTTATGCCTCGTTTAAATACCTTTGAATTACAAATAACAAATTGCTTCATTTAATATCTTAGGTTACCCAGTGGCTCAATAAGATATTTGGGGACCAGCCAGTACCATATTATGAAGTGAACAGTCGGACTATAGACGTACTGTACCAGCTGGCACAGAGCAGTGAGGCCAGATGCAAGGATGAGACTCTGGTTCTAGAGGATCTTAAACAGCAAGCTGCTGAATACAGTGCAGATGGTAAGTACACCAGGTGGAAGTGCAGGAGCTCATGGACGACCTCCTACAGAAACCGTCTGTGGAGTAAGATTTTTACTTGTAGTGGTACAAGGACTACCTACAATATTGTCCTTATTCCATGTTTAGCCATTATTTAATGCATATTTCAAAAGTGGGAATAATATTAATATCTACCTTTTTCAAGGAACAAGGATGTGCATGCGGTATTGTGCATTCCAAGTCAAAATATTAATATTTTGTCTGAAACTAAGAACTTTATGAAGTGCTGTTGAAGTATAATGAATGAATGAATGAATTAAAACAGCAGCAGAAACTTTACTCTAGGTGAAGGGGTAATCGGTTTAAAATAAAATTCTCATTGGCTAAGTCACATTGTGTTTTCCCTCATGATAAAAATAGACATTCTCTTTAACTTTAGTAAGGTAGACCCAGCTAAATATTTTCTACTTAAATCTATAACTCAGTGCTAGCATAGGTTATTTTCTTCAGGGTTGTAAATTTCTGTAATACATGGTTTTAAGTATGGAGAAACAGAATTAGACAGAAACTTTAGATTTTTTGGCAATTCTCTGTTATGTTATAGCAAAGCTGTAGCTGAAGACTTGATAGGACCTCCAGTTAACAATTTGACTTAAGAGTTACAGTAGGCATGTAAGTCAAGTCACAATAATCAAGGAATCCATCTTATGTTAAATGTGTTCTTGTGCATACTCGGCTATCGACAAGTACATTAAATCATCTATAAAACTGTAGTCAGTTTCAATTAATTTAGAACTGTTTACCTTGTC